GATTGTTGGGAGGGGCTCGGGGCCACATGTCCACAAGCTGTCCAGGTTGACCGCTTGTCCATGCTGGACCTCATTGCAATGGGATCTTAAGTAAGTATATTATGTTTTGTTGTTTGAACTAAGGTCTGTGTATTGAACTATACTTGCTTACTGAACTAACATTTAATAAATACTTTAGAACTTTGAAGTAGTCTGTGTTCAGATGTGTCTGTCTCTCGGGTTAGATGGGGTTTTTCCCCTGACACTAGTTTCAGTGGAATCTGAATTATATATTAAAGGAATAGTTTTATATACCTATTTTTTAAAAATCAAAAGAAGTTTTCATTTTCTATTCATTTTCTATTCCTTAATACATGCACACACGTGATGTGTCTGCTCTTGGCCATAGCTTCTTGTTGGCTCTTCGCATATCCTTGTCTCCATGTAGGCACCCATAAGAAATAGTTCTGAAGGAAAGAGGAGGGGTGGCAAAAGGGAAATCTAAAAAAAAACACCCAGGAGGACTCTGGGAAGAAGCAGCTTGGAAGTGATGTCTCCTGGAGATGGAGGTGATATTGGTGGCTAAATCACCAATGCAGATTTAGACAACTGTACCAGCTGCTAAAGATGGATGCTTGCTTTCAGTGCAGAAAAAAGTTTGCACCACTGAAAGCTCATTAGTTTATGAATGGCTTGCCGTCCACAAAGCATTTGAGGGGTGATCTGGGGGAAGAAGACTGCCATGGAAGCTTATCTCTGCTCCTTGCAGAAGACCCTCAGTGGGCTTGAAGAAGAGGGAAGAAATAGGATTTTACTTGTCCAAGGATCACCAGATAGATCAAGGCCAGCTGCCAATTCATCTGACTGAACCAAAGAAGAAGGAAGCCTTGCCACTAATACCTGTAAGCCCTTCCTTAACTATAGAATTAGAAAGAATAGGTAGAAGTGGAATTTAAATTGTGCACACATATGTTAAACTTAGATCGCAGTCTACACATTTATACAGTACATGCTTGGAATTTAGAGCTCAAAGTTGGAGTTCAGGGGAAAAAAAAACTTGTACTCTTAGACCCATAGCATCATAGGCATGGAAGGGACCTTGGAGATCTAGTCCCACACCCTTCCTCAAAACATTCTGGACAAAGGGCTGTCCAGACTTTTCTTGAAAACCTCCACTGATAGAGCACCCACCACTTCAGGGAGCAGGCTGTTCCGCTGCTTAATGCTTCTCACAGTCAGGAAATTCCTCCTCCTTAGTTCAAGTTTGGGTCTCTCACTGTAAAACTTCCACCCACTGCTTTCTGTCTTATCCTCAGGTGCTGGGGAGAATACATCTCCTCCCTCTTCCCTTTGACATCCCTTCATGTATTGGAAGGCAGCTATCATGTCTCCTCTTAATCTTAAAACACCCCCTTAGCAGCAAGGAAGAGAGAACCTGTTCAGATGAAACACACAGCTATTAGAAACTATAAATCATATTTGCACAGCTTAGCTGGAAATGAAACTACTTCTGCTATGTGCTTTATCAATAATTTCAATATTTAAAAAAAACTGGAAAATTGTTTTTCCTGTCTTGTTCAATCAAATCTTCAATATTCATTGTCCTGGTTCTGGCTATTTATAGGATTGTAGTATGTATGCTCTGGAAGGGAGCTATGACAACTGTAAAATATGTGATATGTGATTTGCATACCATTTCTCTGCTAACAGTTTATAACAACTACACCTTGTGTTCTGTTTTGTGGTTTCAGGAGCAGAAGGCACAGTGTTCCCTAAATCCATAGAAACTCCTAATGTCAGGGCAGACCCCTTCAAGGAACTAAGGTAAACTCTGACATTTAGTTCTAATGTAATTCAAAGTTACCTTGCTTGAATTGTGCATTCTGGCTGGTGATATTTCAACTCTGAAGAAATTAAGGAATATGCAGTTGCATAGATGCCACTGAATACCAGCAAAACAGTTATACTTCAAGTAAATCTGAATTTTTAAAAGCCCATTGACTCGTGGAATTCAAACTCTTATTTTTGTGACTGCTAGATCTTAAGGGTTGGGGGGGGGAGGTTTCCTAAAAAGGTCTCTTTGGACAGTAATGATTGAGTATGGCCTTCAAGTATCTTTAATCACAGAATATCAGCAGGCAGAAGAGTGGTGCAGTGGTCAAATTACTTTCTATACAGATAAAATAACTTGGTACCTGTATTCATCTGTGACAGCTGCCACTGCCCTGATTTATAGGTTACTGGTAGAGCAGTCCCTGTGTACTGGAAGAATGGACAGGCCACAATCCACAAACCATTGCAGTTATTTTTATCTGACTTTCCTGCCCCCAAGCTTTCAGTGCAGCAGTTATATGAGAGCATGATTTTTTTTCTTTTTGGGTTTTCCCATTTTTCAAGGTACATAGTGAAGTGGCTCTTGGCCATGATAAGGATACCTGCTGGAGGCCCTGACAATTATCTACCCAGCACTTTGTTTAGCAAGCAGTGCTTTCAAACATGGGAGCGAAATTTATTCCCAGTAGCTGCAAGCAACTGAGTTCTGACTATAGTAAATGTGGCCAGAGTGACGCCTGATCCAGAATTAATTCATGCCAATCATTTGTTTCCTCCCCAAACACAATTTTTTTAAAAAGGAGGAATGTCCTTGTATGAGATATTTGAATAAAAGATCACAAAAAGCAAACATTGTTCATGTAGGCTCACAATTACAGTATATGAATGTGGTAGCTGGACTGACCATAATGTGTTGAGTACTCGTTACTAGATCACTCCTTATATGGAAAGGTTTCATAACACAAAGGGATTCACAATATAATCTGGTCATGTGGAAACCCTCTCCATTAGTCTTCCCCAACCTGATGCCCCCCAGATATATTGGGCCAATTCCCAGAAATCCTACCTGGCATACCTGGAGGTGAACCATACTGTACATTATAACTTCTTTGCAGGAAATTGTGAATAACCTAAAAGCTTGCCATTTTCAGACTTTATATCAACTGCTGAAACCAGTGGCAGTATGTGCTTGTATTCAAATAATTCATGTGTGGGTCACCATGTCTCACTGAACACTAATTCTCTCTTTGCATTGTACTCTTGTATCTTCACTGGATCAATGCCTGAAGCTCTTGTAATTCTTTGATTCACATTGTTTGAGTCCTGAAATGCACATATATCAATATTTTCTGTTTCTTTCATCTTCTCCATCTTTGTTGCCTTTACTGATGTCTTGCGTATCATGCAGAAGAATAAGTTCCAGGTGATTACCTTGCCATCACTCTCCACAGAAATTCTATTATCCCTGGATCATTGTTCTTTACAAGTGTGAGATCGCTTTTTCTGAAATCCAGACACTGTACTGTTCTTGCTAGGGCAGAATGGCCTCTTAGCTATCATCAGTGGTGCTGAAGGAGCTGGGAGAATTAGAATGAATGTGGAGTATTGTTTGTAATAAACCTTTAGAGTTCTTAGACCAGTGAATGTCATGGTTGTCATTTAACATAAAGGAAAAGTAGCATGTCTTATGCTGCTTTTTAGCTTGTTTGACATGATTAACCATTGGCCTAGCTTAGTTTATGAATTTCTTACTCCAGCAAAATTATTGTGCAGCATATGTTCATTGCTTGACTATTGAGAGGAAGAATAAAAGGATTGTGGCTAATTTCTCCTAATCAAGAAAGGAAGTGGAATAAAGAGATCACAAAGATTTCTAGCACCAGCACATCAACAGTGTATTTGTCAGTATATACTATAATGCAGCATGTGTGCAATGAAGCATGTAAGTTATTCATTCCAATGAAGCTGGTGCCATCATTGCCTACTAATCATAATGGCTATATATTATCTCCAATATCAAAGGCAGTATGCCTCTCAATACCAGCTGCTAGGGAATATGAGGAGAAGAATAATATGGAGATGTTTGTGCTTACCATATGTTAGTAGAGGTATGTATAGATTCAGTTCAGCACCCTCTGAGGTTTGTGCTGAATTACAGAAGAAACCTGGGGAAGGAAGGTTATTCACAGAACCGCCTTTTACACAATGATTGTACCCAGTATGATGGCATGCTTAGAATCCTGTTCCCATAAGCAGCCCTTTCTAGATTTGGTCAGATTATTTGGTATATATGAGCTCAACAGATTATTTAAAACATGCAAATCTTTTTTTTTTTAGTTCATTTGTTACTATGACAGATGTTGCTAATTTATATACTAATCTGTTACCTAGAAATTGACATGTACTAGACAGAATTGTTCTTTATGCAAAACCTCAGGAAAAAAATTAATCCAACTCATTTTTTGCATACTGTCAAAACTGGATGTTAGGTTAGATCCAACATGGCTGCCCTGCTAAGCCCAACAAAATAATTCAGTCTGTAAAGTGGTTAAAAGACTCATTGACAAACCTGAATAATAACGCTGGAATATGAACTTCAAAGCATAAATCTCTTCTCTTTGAACTCCAGTTTTTTCTTGCCTTCTTGGAATTTCCTTCAGACATACTTCCTCTGTTACATTCCAGCACATGAGGTCCACATACGCCACTCACTTACCCAGCATATACCCACTTATCTCAGTTGCTACTTTTCTTTTTCACACAAAACTTAATTTCCATTGCACTACACAGTCTTCTGCTTCTCCCCCATCTCCAAGCTTTCAGCACAGCAAGTTTCTTTTTCTGTCTTCTTTAAAGAAAAAAGAAAAAGAGAAAGTGAAAGTGAACAAACTTTCAGTGGTAGAAGGAAAAGAGCAGAGTTCCAACTCTTCACTTTCCCTTCTGAAAAATGCTGGAGGCTCTTCGGAGCCCTAAAGGCATGCGAGCAGGATTGGAAGACTGCAGTTTTTGCTTTCCGATTGAGAATTAAGCAAATAGTTTTAAAAAAGATGGGACAGCCTAGATGAGGGCAAGAAGGTTTAAAACTGTAATCACTTGTAAGCTTTGTGAACACTTGCAATGGGTCTCTTATTCAATACCTTTCCTATCTGTGTCATTCACCCAGTTGATGCTTTTGTATAACAATGTTCTAGTACTGTGGAGGACATTGCCACTTCAGTACTGATCAATGGGATTATAGAAATTCTGTGTTTTTACTATATCAGCCAAAAATATTTCTATGGCAGTTTACACAAGATCGATGACAAACAAGACAGTCCCAGCCTCCTAAGTTACAATCTGCATCAAAAGGAAAAGGAAAACAAGCCAGCTCAGCATTCATTCTTCCTTCACTTTGTAGATAAGTTGTTTACTCAGTGTTATTACTGGGTTTGGGCATAGACTTAATTTAAGTTTGCTTGTTTAATGCATTTCTTAGTTGCCTTTCAAGGCTGCAGTTTTCCCAGAGGGGCTTACTATGCAAAAGATAGCATTCCTTTCAATAGATGCATAGGTAAGAGAAGTGATGGAGCAGCAATGTCATTCAGAGGACAAAAAATATAGTCCATTCTGCAGTACAAAGAGAAGCCAAAGCCAGTGCAGGCATCAAATGCTAGAGCAGTGTTTCTCAACCTTAGCAACTTTAAGATGTGTGGACTTCAACTCCCAGAATTCCCAT